TGGTTTTCAGGATGGTATCTCTGACAGCACTACGGAAGATGGCCTACAGTCCAGAGAGTGGTGAAGGAGCAAGTTGAGGCTATTTTCATGGTTCAGATAAGAAATGATGGCAGCCTGAAGTAAGGCAATGGGGGCAGAAATGGCTGAACTCAGGAGACATTTTTAAAGTCAGAAGTGACAGGATTTGGTGACCAAGTGGAAGTGACAGGAGAATGAAGCACTACAAAGACTCCACAGTTTCTGGCTTGAAATGGAACTCATCTTTCCCCAAAACTTGTTCTATTCCTGGGAATAGGTACAAGTTTTGTGGAAAGATGAGTTCCATTTGGGTATTTTTTAGTTTTAGTGACCTACAGTCATCAAGTAGTAGACAGCTGAGAAGATGTGTTGAGAGCTCATGAGAGAGATTAGGAGCAGAGAAAAAGCTATAAGAACCATTAGAATATAGTTAATATTTAAAGCCATAATAATGGATGAGATTGCTCAAGAAATGAGTGTAGAGGAATACGACTAGGAGAGAAGCCTTGAGAACACCCATGCTTCAGGAAGCAGGCAGAGGAGGAAGAATTAACTTAGGAAAAAAGGAGCAAGAACCAGACTTGCAAGGACGATCAGAAGTGAGCGGCATTATAGAATCCAAGAAAGGAAATTCAGGGAAAAGATGGCTCAATCCTGTCAATTATCTCAAAGAGGACCAAGAAAGAGTATGAGTGGAAATGGATGTGGCAGTTTCAGAATGGTGACATCAGATACCAAGCGGCAACAGGCTAGAAAATAGGAATTAATAGTCTTTTTTCAAGAATAATTGTTAAAAGAGAAGAACAGGGATAAGGGTAACAGCTTTAAGGAATTACAAAATAAAGGAGTTTTTTTTTAAAGGTTATTTGTGTATGCTGTAAGGGAAAGAAACCAAAGAGGAAGAGACTAAAAATGCAAAAAAGAAAGAGATTGTGACTTTCGAATTCCTACAACATCACTATGACTCACTCACTTGGCATTCAGCTTACACATTTACTTCGTACTGGCAGTACTGTACATTTAGAAATGCTGGCACAAAGTAAGTGCTCAATAAATCTACACTTCCTATTGTTTTTCCTCAGGTATCTATGCACATTATCTAGCCAATAAAAATGCATAATCTTACACAAGAATGTATAAAACAAAGTAAACAGTGTGGTGGAATTGTGAGCAATACAGACCCAGAACAAGAATTTTTATCCACCATTTACTAGTATCCAGACCAAAGAAAAATTGTTTCACTTCTTTGCACCTCAGTTATTCAACTGTTAAGTGGGAAGAATACCATTCATTCTTGGAAGATTGTGAGGATTAAATGAGGTATTTAAGAAACACTTTATATAAAACTCAGTGCTCAAGAAGTAGTAATAATTACTATTCTGGTCATTTTTTCCTACCATTAGACCACCTAAAAGAGTCACTGACTTTTCAGAATGTGTCTATGATTGAGGATAAGTAAATAATCAGGAGGCATAATAACAACCACTGCTATGCTGTATTTTGGAGAACAAAAGCACAAAATAACATCAGCTCTTGGTCAGACTTCTCAAACTTTGCTCATCCATGTACCACCAACAGGACTTCTGCCACATGCAAGCACTGCAACTTAATACTTTTCTTCAAATGAACTCACTTCTCTTTAATCAGCCCCATTTTAAACAATTACAGCTGTGAAATGGTGCATTTGATGTGTTTTCTTTTTTTCCAAATATATATTAACCATTAAAACAAAGCATTTAACCCCTTAACCATCCTACATCATCTCCTAAATCACACTCTAAAACTGCTTGGGCTGAAATCAGACTAGCAATTTGTCAGTTTACTCAATTTTTCTGTTACTGCCCATTACCATTTACAAAGGTTTGCAGAACATAGAAATGAAACCAACCAAATGATGAAATTCATCCCAATAATATACACTGAATTTTTTCACAGGAAGTCCCAAGTTGTCTAAAACTAAACAGACAATCCAGCAATTTATCTTTTATTTAATCCTTCCACCTCTATTTTCTCTATCACAAATGAAAATGAGATTGGGGAAAAAAGGCCCATGTTGTGACCTAAGAACAAAACCAAGGGGAGGAAAAATAAGGCAGTGGGTTTTGTTCTGAAGCACTAGCATTTCAGTCAAAAGAACGGTTAGCATGCACATCACCCAAGTGAAAAACTGCTGTCTTTAAGATAGCAGAACATTCCTCTGAAAAGTCAAACTACCATTTGTTATGAACCAATACCTTTCAAATCCATGCTTGAAACCAGAAAGTTCTCCTACACTCCAATAACAAAAATCATTGACCAGATCAGGAGAGAACTTCACTGACTGATAACATCTACAGATATTTTACATATGCAATTTTGGAGCCTGTCTTAAATCTAATATATTAAGAGCCATACTACTTGCTTTTTAAAAGATCAAAGAGTTTGTTTATAATCTAGCATGGGGAATAAGATTTATATATTCCCCAAATCGAGTTTCTCAGAACTGAAAAGGACACATGGGAATTTTTCCCCCAACATTTTATTATGAAAAATTTCAAGCATATGACAAAATTGAAATACTTTTACAGAGAACATGCATATACCCACCACTGAGATTCTACCATTTTTACTACATTTGCTTTATCGTGTATCAATCCATTTATCCAATCCATCTTATTTTTTGATGAACTAAGATTTTAAAAATGAGACTATATGTGATGAAGAATTTCAATAGGCCATTAAGATTGCTTCCCCAAAATTTTGACTGATGGGGTGCATGAACAAAAAGTTTGGAAACCATAAGCCCATACTCAGTGCTCAGTTCTCCTGCCAATCTCCTATCAAAATCTACTTCAGAGCTCACAGCAGGTAATTCTATGTCTCCACACCCTTGTCTACTATTTAAACTATCCTTTCCAGCCCTCTTCAAGGCTTAGTACCAATCTATGAAGCCTCCCCCCAACTTTCACACCCTTGCCCAGAATTAACCATGCACCCTTAAGGGGCCACATTTTTCATCATTTGCAGTTAGCTAACAATCTGCAACATGGTTTTCAGTCTGTCTGTTTTACTAAACCCTGACCTCCTTGAGGGCAGGGATCCCCTTATTTACTTCTGAATCCTCAGCAACCACCATAGTAGCAAGCACTTAATAAATGAATAATATAAATGAATGATCCACACCTGCCTTTACCCAGGAGCCACGGATGACTTTAGTTGAGTATAGGAATGATGGAATCACTTACATTCATCTTAGCGGTCCACTATTAAAAGACTGCATGGGCACAAATCTCAGCTTTACCATTTATTGCTGGGTGAGTCTGGGCAAGTTTCTAAACCTCCCTTGCCTCAGTTTCCTCATATGGAAAAAAGGTATGACACTGCTTCACAGGTTACTGTGAGGATCAAATGAGCTAATTTTGTTGTTGTTAAAGCACACAGATCAGCATCTTGCACATGGTGAGCATTTCATCAATGTTAGCCCCCAGCAGCCAGATTAATGACAATGAGGTACAAAGGCTGTAAAGCTTGGGTGGTGGCAGTGACGACAAAATGGCCATGAATGAATGATTACCTGAAAAATGTTCACTCAGGAAGGCAAGCAAATGAGTGTTACATTATTTTTTTCTCCTTTGTATGTTTGAGACAGCTCATGAGTGGATTTTTTTTTATTATTAAAAACATCTATAATCTACTCAGCCTGGGCACAAGGAGCCTGACATGACTGTACACTAACCGCATACTCTATGCCCGTCACAAGTTTCTCTATGCAGGTTTTTCAGTTTCTCAGCTGAAATTTTTTTCTCATTACTCCACCCAGCACAATTTCTTTAGTTTATGATTCCCACAATTTCTGTTCTGTCTCCTGAGCACATCCACAAGAGCCTTCCACCCTATCCAACCCTGTACTACTTTTATCTTCTTCCTGCCTATCTCCTTTACTTCTCAAGCCTTGCTATTCCCTACACGTATGAACTTGAAACTTAAGAGTATGGGAAAGCAACAGACAACAGCAGTGGTGCCAAGAACTGGGGAGACTGCCAAGCTGTTCCCCAGGTCCCATATGGCGACCAACTACATGCAGAAACTGGACTTAAGTGCCCATGGGGCCTCATACGCTTGATAATTCTTTTTGGTTCTCACTTTCTTTTTCCCACTTAAAGCAGCCTCCTCCCAAAACAGTAACCCATTCAAATCCAATCCATCCTTGAAGATGCAGGAGAGATCCAACTTCTTCAAGGAAGCCTCCTCTGACCACTGTAGCCCACAGATCTCCCCATCCACACACACAAAACAGGTACTGTACTTACAGTCTGTACCATAAAGCATAATCACATACATATTTTATACCATTAGATAAATATTTCATGTGTATATATTTGATTTTCCAAGGGTGGGAATCCATGTCTCATATCTCTCAAACTCCTTACTCACAATGGGTTAATACTTGTTGAACAGTGAACTCGATCAGTGGGATTTTTGTTTGTTTAGGCTAAAGCAGGAGGAAATGGGGTGCAATGAAAAAGGCTGAATGAACAGATGGGTAAAAAAACGCAGCACTGGGCCAAAATGGGGAGAAAAAGTTGTAGAAGAAAGGTGTTCAATTAACATTTGTTTAATTGATTTACTGCAAGGTTGGAAAGAGTAACACCAATTGGAAAAAATTGGAAAAAGGCATTTCAGCTTTAAGGAAGAAAAGAGTAGGAGCAAGATGGGGCCACAAAAGAAAATTCTGTTAAAACCTAGAGATAGGCCAACTGGATAAGTGCAGGTAAAGGGAGTTAGTGGGATCATACAGAGATGTGGTTATGTTGGTGAGCGAATCAGTAGGGGATGGTATGAAGAGGTGGGCAGATGGATAAAATGATTGAGTTAGGCAAGTGGGTTGGCTGACTGCGCGGTGGTAGGTATAAGCAAGGCAGGTTAGTAGGTGGGTAGTTAGTTGTTTAGTTAGGAGAGAATAGGTGTGGGGTGTATTATTTAGGCTCCGGCCTCTCCCTCACCTTGACCCGGAAGCGGATGAGTGCTAGCCTCACGCAGTGGCTCAAGCAGGCCGGTGGCAGGAACCAGGCCCGTGGAGGAGGGGTGCCTTTGTTGCCCACGTGTCCCACGATCAGTTGCGCTGTCTGCCGCTCAGCCTGGCACCGACGGCCCCACTCGGCCAGCCGGTCCTTGCCCAGGCCTCCTGGGAACATGACCACGAGCTCCAGACCGTCGCCACCAGGATAGGCACAAGCCTGGCACAGCGCTGATAAGTAGCCCAGCATGGCATTCCATTGGCCGCCACACACCCAGTCTGTCTGGTAGCCGCCATAAAGCCGCGGCAGAGCCGAGCCAGCGTCCACAAGCAGGAGGAGGAGGAGGGGGAGGAGGAGGAGGCGGCGGCGGCGGCGGCGGCGGCGGGTATAGCCCGAGGTGCGCCTGACCGTGGTGGTGGAAGTGGTGAGAAGGATGATGGTGCCGAGTCGGCCCTGTTCTCCCGGAGTAGGCAGCGGGCGGGAGCGGTGATTGCAGAGGCGCGGAGAACCTGGCGGCGAGTGGGGCCCCGGGAACTAGGGCGGCCGGAGGCGGCAGCTGGCGCGAGACCGTGCGCGCGAGTTTGAGGAGGTCCACGGGCACCACGGCCCCGGGACAGCGCTTCTCCAGGAACTCTTGGAAGCCCTGGACGCCCATGCTTCGTCGGCGGGCGGATGAGACAGCGGCTGCGCGAGCGGACTAGGCGGCGATCTGGGCGCGAAATAGGGGGCGGACGCGTGCGCACTCCCCGGGGGGCGAGAGGGCGGGCAAAGGATTCCGGAGGGGAGGGGTGAGAGAGTGAGGGCTGGGTGGGGAGGAGACCACAGGTTGATTTTGAGTGGAGAGAAGTGGTGAGGCCAACCGGACTCAGGAGACGCTGGAAGGATAAAAGGGATGAAAGGCTCTAGTCACTTCTCTCCACCCCACCGCCACTCTCCGGCCACTCTTCACCGGTAAAAAACGAGTGAAGCCTCTTTCTTCCACTTCTGGGAGCCATGTTTCTTCGTCTTCTCTATGGTACACACTTTCTAGCTCGAGGAGGAAAGGGGCGGAAGGGGCATCCTGGGAGTTGTAGTCCTCTCCTTTTCGGACTGGCGATACAGTCTCAGAACCAGATTACCATCCCTGTCAGCCCTTGCGCCCACAGGGTGACAAGTGGCGGGGCGTGACGATATGTTTAGGATTTGCGCTACAGCTCCTTGCGTCCTAGTTGCTTCACGCTATTTACCTTCTGTCCCAGGAAAAGGAGTGGGGGGAACGAAGTGATGCATCATGGGAAAGGAAGTAGAGTGGCTTAATTGACTTTGGGTAAAGTATGCTAAAATTCCCCAGTAAAGAGAATTTTTCTTTCGGGGGGGCGGGGGGGGGAATAATATGCGTAGTATTTAATGAATGACAAAGGACATATGAAACGTAAAAATAATAACCACCAATATTTCTCTAGTAAAGCACTTAGCTTTTACCTACTGTAATTTGTTGTGCCCAAAGTCACGAATCCCAGAAGACCACCAAGGAGCCAACACCTATGCAAAAGCAAAGAGCCTTTTTATTCGAGCTAGCTCGAGCTCAATCTCTCATCTACACCAACGAAGTGGCAAGATGCCAGAGAAAGAGAGAGTTTCAATACTACAAAGGTTTTATGGGGTTCTAGGGCAGTTGATGGGGTGATGGTCATGGCTCTGGCTGATTGGCTGGATCTAGGGGTAGTTGGTGGGGTGGTAGGTCGTGGCTCTGGTCAATTGGAAGGGTCTAAGGGTGGTGGGTGAGCTCCTTGTTGACTGGAGAGGAGAGAGACCAAGCTCTGATTGGGTGAAATAGGATCCAGGTCCTGATTGGCTAAGGTAGGATCCGGATCCCAATTGGCTGAAATAGAATCTGGGAGCTTGCCTTTTCATAATTCTTTTTAGAGTTGTTGGCCCCAATTTATGAATGATGAAATTTAAAATTATTTATTTGCCCAAGGAAACGTAGAGACAAAGTGAAATTGAATATCTCTTGTCCTCAGGGATTTCTTCCCTCAGGGACATAAGCACTAACACAAATTAGACTACAAGTTTTACCTTTCTGGTACTCAGCTACAGTGTCCTTCAGTCAGGACCTTTCTTTCCAGTCCCCATTGTGAATCTATCAGGGAGATCATGCATGTCGGTCCCCTCACTGCTTCTAAGCCGCAGACAAGGGAGGAGATGCGATTGAGTTGTTGAAGACCTGAAAGGACCAGGCAGGGGGCTCATGGCGTTACAGCTCAAGAGCAATGCCAAGAAGGCATTTCTAATATTTATTGAACAAATGAACTTACAATGAATTCAAAAATCCTTACCCGGCATTGAGTCTAGCCCAAGGTCGCGACGCTTCTCAAGGATACCAAACTGTGTGAAGGTGGCTCCAAGCCATGAGAACTGCTTTGGTTCTCATCACTCAGTCCTTGACTACACATCAACAGAGTGTGTGGGAAAAACAATCAAGTCATGTGTGCTTATACATTTGATTTCTACCTTACTTGAATTATGTATTAACCCCATCAATCCCACAATGCAAAGTAACCACAAGGGGTCCAATTCCATTTTTACAGAACCACAATCTTTTGAAAAATCTATTTTCAGCATGCTCCTAAGTTGATTCTGATGTAGCACAGTCTTCGGACTGGTTTTTAGGATGCACTCTCGGTAGGAGGATGGCAGAAAAAAAGAACTGTTCTGTAACAGTGAGTAGTAGTGAGATCTGGCCTGGAACTTAATGAAAGGTGGGAGACAGTGGTAGGCAATTAGAACAGTAAAAGTGCAGAACTCAAGAGTAGTCAAGATCAATGAAATCTGAGAACAGTCTGTTAGGATGCAAAAGCTGAAAAAGCTTCAAGGTCCATAAAGGAAGTTATCATAAAAGATTAGTGGAGATAGAATAAGTAGATGGTGAAGTGGTACACATAGGTAACTCTTTGAAAACAAGCAGTGAAAGGAAATAGCAGTGGCTTGAAGGGATGAAGTATGAAAGAAATAGAGGTTTTCTAGTACAATGGACACCTGTTGGATTGTCTGCTCAGCCCTCCTTTCCTAGGAATGACCTCCCCCCCCATTTACAAAGTTACAGCAAAAATTGTCATAGTCCTGTAACCATAGCTGATTGGGTCAAAGGTGGACAGCTAATCCAAGCTGGGTCAGTCTGAATCTCATCCCTAGAAATTTGGAATTGGACCAGAGAGATCAGTGTAAAACTTGGAAGCTGTCAGCAATTTCCCCACCAGAGGGACAGAAGTAAAAGATGGTTGTCTGTAGAAAGAGAAGAAAAATGCAGACTGGCAGAGATGAGAGATAGGGAGTCTTCACTGTGTTTAAGTCCCAGGTTCTAGATAATTTCTGAGGCATTCTTGTCCTTTCTTTCTGTGAGGCAATCCTACATCCTTACCGTAAGGTTGGAGGCACCGGAGGGAGGAGTGAGCATGTTGGACACTGATGACGTGCCAAAGTCCCCAGCTGCTGCCCCCTCCCAATCTGAAAAATGTGCCTTAGGCTAGCCAATCCACGCGCCGCTGTAAATCTATGCTCTGCCTCCCCCTACCTTCTTTAAAAACTCCCTGCCTGTCTGATTGTGTGCGACTTCCCCAGCCTGTATTAGTGCAGACTGGTGAACCTCACCCGGGATTGCACTCAAATAAACTGCCTGGCCCTTTGTTGCCTCTTGTCGTCTGCTTATTTCAGTTAGAATTTATCTTACATTTGGTGCCGAAAAACCCGGGAAGGAGTGTGAGCGCGGGGCCCCAACAGGCCATTGGCCCCTCCTTCCCCAACCCGGGACCTCAGCTTGCTCTCTGCTGCGTAGACTACTTTCCGGTGAGTCCCTCAGTTTCCCCTGGTCTGTTTCCCTTCCTAACTCCATTTCACCTGGTCCGTCCAAAATCATAGCTACGTCCAGGTTGGGGCATCCAGCCCATCTGCTGAGGGCATCCGGGATACCCGCCCCTGGCCCTGCAGTGTGGGAGATGTCCCTCACCCAGGCTCCCAGGCTGTCTCCCCTGACTTGGCGCACATGGGACGCTGGGCGCTCCTCTCAGCAGGATTAGTTGGGAAGTGGCGCAGACATGGGGAACCAGCCCTCGAAAGCAGAGGCTCAGACCCCGCTGCGGTGTCTCATTTCTAATTTGGCTACTCTATATTTGTCCCGGGAAGTTTGCAAACAGAAGCTAGTCTTTCTTTGCTCTAAGGCCGGGCCTCAGTATCCCTTGGAGAATCAATCTCGCTGGGCCCCTGAGGGAACTTTCAATTTGGCCTCCTCACCGACTTGACTAATTATTGCCACCGGAGTAGAGAGTGGAGTGAAATCCCATATGTGCAGGCTTTTTGGACTTTGCGCTCCTGCCCAGACCTTTATGTTAAGTGTTCAATGACTCAGGTTCTCCTGGCCCAATCTCCAGTTAAGGATTGTCAGACTCTTACTCTGCCCAGTCCTTCTTCCTTTTCAGATCTGCCAGAGGACCTTGGTCTCCCACCTCTCTCCGCTTGCTACCCCCACCCCTCTCCACCACCATCTTTAAGTTCTTTGTCCTCTCCTGTGTCGCTGCCATCTTAAAGTCCTACATTCTCAACCATGCCATCTTCCTGCTCCTCTCCTCTTCTGGTGGCTGCACCCACCCCCCGACTCTTTCCGCCTACACCACCCTCTTCCCCCACTGGAACACGCTCCTCCCGTCCTCTGGTTCTGGAAGCCACAGACAAGACTCCTTGCAGCACAGACCTGCCTCCTTTCTCTCCTGATCCTACACCCCTCCCCACACCCACCATTTTGTAAGTGGTCTGGCGTAGTTGTTGTGAGTGGGTGAGCTAGGCGTAGCAAGTGAACATCTTAGTGATTGTCTACTGCAGTGTGTGTGCCTGCCTGCAGCCTGAAAATTTTTGTAGTGACCTCAAATCTTAAAGTTTTGCTAAGTTAAGTAGACATATTTTGTGCTTAGAGATTATGCTGTGAAGCACATGGTGTCAGGAATTATAAAGTATGTTCATGAATTTGTTAATCTAAAGAATGCTAGTGCAATGGTTTACAATAGCCCGCTTCTCAGTGTTCACTGAAAATTAAAGTTCCTAATAGTTTTAAGGTCTAATTAAAGCTATTTAAGAAGAAAACATCTCTACTTGCTAAAAGGATGTGTTTTAATAAGAGAAAGTATAAAGAATGGAAATTCGTTTTGTTGAAGGTAAAAGAAAGTAATTGTTCTAAAGTACAGCTATTTATTTTAAAAAGGAGAACACTGTAAAAACAAAGTTTTCTTAACTGTTAGTCTGCTCTTAATAGTGAAAGATTGCAAAGGGTTCTCTAATTGTTTAATCAAAACAGATTCTCGTGCATAAAGTCTCAATGAGTTGTCTGAATATTTAAGATAATGAGATCTTAATATAAAAAAACTAAAAGCTAAGCTTTGCTAATAACTGTGTAACCTTCTGTATTTGCCTTTAAAATCTTTTATTGTCATTCTAGTTAAATAGATAAGTATTGTTCCATAGTAACTTATGATTCTATTTAAACAAATGCCTTAAAAAAACTTTAACAGCTTCCCAAAATCAAATTCAAAAAGGTGCTTTTACCTCTAGTTAACTCTGATATTTTCCAGAGGGCCCCTGGAACATGTCAGAAGAATTTTTTCTCATTAGAGGAAGTATTTAGCCAAT